ATTTCAAACCAAATGAAAACTAAAACGCAACATATCAAAATTTGTGGTATGCAAGCAAATTAGTGTTTATACACTTGTATTAGAAAGGAAGAAAGGTTTAAAATAAATAATCTGACGTTTCATTTTAAGAAGCCAGAAAAAAGAGATCAAATTAAACTAAAATTAATAGAAAGAAGGAAATAACACAGACAATAGTGAAAATCAATGAAATAGAAAACAGCCAGATGTGGTGGCACGTGCTTATAGTCCCAGCTACTTGGAAGGCTGAGGCAGGAGGATTGTTGAACCAAGATCAAGTCCAGTCTAGGCAACATCTCAAAACAGAAACAAAAACTTGGAACAACTGGAACTCTCATACATTGCAGGTTGAAATGTACACTTTGGATAAAGGTTTTGGGGTTTCTTTTTTTTTGAGTTGGAGTCTCACTCTGTCTCCCGGGCTGGAATGCAATGGCACACTCACAGTCACTGCAGCCTCGACCTGCTGAGCTCAGGCAATCCTTCCACCTCAGCCTTTCAAGTAGCTGGAACTACAGGCATGCACTACCATGCCCAGCTTATTTTTTGATTTATTGTAGAGATGAGATTTCACCAAGTTGCCCAGGCTGGTCTGGAACCCCTGAGCTCAGGCAATCCTCTCGCCTCAGCCTCCCAAAGTGCTGGAATTACAGGCTTGAGCCATGGCACCCGGCCTTGGAGTTTCTTACAAAGCTGCACCTAGACTTATCCTTTGAGACCCAGCAATCCTTCTCCTAGGCAGATATCAAAGAGAAATGAAAATATATGTCCACAAAAAGAGTTGCACAGGAATGTTCATAGCTTTAATGACAAAAGCAAAAACAAATAAATAAAAAGCTGGGAACAATCCAAAAGTCCATAACAGCAGAATGAATAAACAAACTACAGTATATTTGTACGATGGAATGCAATTCAGCAATAAAAAGGAATGAACTACCGATATAGACAACATGGATGAATGTCAGAGAGACAACATCGAGTTAAAGAAGCCAAACACAGAAGAATGTACACTATAGTATTTCTTTTACATAAACTTGTAGGACAGGCAAAACTAATCCAATGTTTAAAAAGTCAGAGAATTCAGGATGGTAAATGTCTCAGGGGGGGTTGAGGGTGGGGAAAACTGTCTAGGAAGAGACAGAAAGGAACTTTCTAGAGATATCAAAATGCTCTATGTCGTGATAGGTATGCGAGTTACAAGGGTATATTTGTCAAAATTATAGTTAAGATTTGAGTATTTCCATGCATGTAAAATTTTTAATTGACATATACTGTTTGTACATATTTATGGGGTACTTGCGATATTTTGTTACATACAGTGCATGTAAATTTAATCTTAAGGAAAAGCAGTTTCAATAATAAAAAAACAAAAAGACAAAGAATGAGACATGTAACTGAATCACACTTAAATAAAATTTTTTTTTTGAGTTGGGGTCTCACTCTGTCGCCCAGACTGGAGTGCAGTGGCACACTCCCAGCCACCGCAGCCTCAACCTGCTGGGCTCTGCCTTCCAAGTAGCTGGAACTACAGGTGTGTGCTACCAGGCCCGGCTAATTTTTGATTTATTGTAGAGATGAGGTCTTGCCAAGTGGCCCAGGTGAGTCTCAAACCTGTGGGTTCAGGCAAGCCACTCATCTCGGCCTCCCAAAGCACTGGGAATACAGGCTGAGCCACTGAGCCCGGCACTTAAATAAATTTAAAAAGTTTGTCTGTTTTTTCTTTTCTTTTTTTCTCTTATTTATTTTATGAACACTCGTGCCAAGGACTTTCAACAAGTATTAACCCTGCTATGGTCTGAAGAGTTATCTCCCCAAAATTCATATTTTGAGGTCCTAACCTCCAAGATGATGGCAGTAAAAAATAAGGGCTTTGGGAGACGACAAGGTGATGAGGCTTTATGAATGAATGGGACGAGTGTACTTATGAAAGAAGCCTAGAGAACTATCTAGTCCCCTCCACCATGTGAGGACACAGCAAGAAGCTGCCATACATTAGGAATGAGTCTCTGCTGGTGCCTTGAACTTGGACTTCTCAGTTTCTGGAACTGTGAGAAACAAATGTCTGTTGTTTAAAAGCTATCCAGTGTAAGGTATCTTATTATAGCAGACAAACCCCTTGTCAGATAGATGGTTTGCAAATATTTCCTCCCATTGAGTAGGTTGCCTTTTCACTCTGTTGCTTTTGCTGCACAGAAGTTTTCAGTGTGATGTGGTCCCATTGGTTTACTTTTGTTTTTGTTGCCTGTGCTCTTGGTGTCATACCCAAGAAATCATTGTCAGGTTAGACGCAGTGGCTCATGTCTATAATCCCAGCACTCTGGGAGGTGGAGGCAAGAGGATTGCCTGAGCCTATGGGTTCAAGGCCAGCCTGGGCAACTTGGCAAGGCTTCATATCTACAAAAAATAATCTAGGTGTGGTGGTGCATGTCTGTACTTCCAGCTACTTGGAAGGTTGAGGTGAAAGTATCATCTGAGCCCATCAGGTCAAGGCTGCGGTGGCTGTGAGTGTGCCACTGTACTCCAGTCTAGGTGACAGAGTGAGACTTCAACTCAAAAACAAAAAACAAACAAAAAAAAAACAGGGCCAGGCTCGGTGTCTCAGCCTGTAATCCCAGCACTTTGGGAGACTGAGGCCAGAGGACTGCCTGAGCCTGCAAGTTCGAGACCAGCCTGGGCAACTTGGTGAGACCTCGTCTCTACAATAAATCAAAAATTAGCCAGGCATGGTAGGGCATGCCTATAGTTCCAGCTACTTGAAAGGCTGAGGTGGAAGGATCGCCAGCACCCCAGCAGGTTGATGAGGTTGATGAGAGAGGCCATGAGTGCGCCACTGCACTCCAGCCTGGGCAACAGAGTGAGACTCCAACTCAAAAATAAAAACAAAAGAAATCAATGTCAAATCCAATGTCATGATGCTCCAAAGCATACTCTCTTAAAGGTGATTTTCAAGCTATGGTTTGTAAACCTATTAGTAAATCCTGAAGTTAATCTAGTGGGTTTTAACCAGTAATTTTTAAATAATAGGACAGGATAACACAAAATAGAAAATATGGAATGAGTTGTTGTACGTAGTATGGCAAAGCATTGTTTTAGAAACATTTTCCCATTTGTATGAGTATGTGATGAATTGTGAAATAAAATAGTTTTTTTTTTTACTGGGGACTATGGTTAAAAATGTTGAAAGACATTGCACTATTTTCTACTGCTCTTGGGCCAAGCAAAGACCCAACAGTGCAGAAGACTTTTCCAGTGGTTACAAGAGTCGTCATACAGCCCTTGGTGGCCTCCACGTGAGGAACACAGAGACCTGTGCTGGAACACAGTACCACATTCATGTGGCCACCTCATTCCTGCAAAACAGAGAATCAGCTGCCACACTGAATTAATATCTTTAATTTGAATTTTATTGGTGTTATTTGTTTTATTTTAGTTCCATAGTTGCACAAGAGCTCTAAGTATAAAGATTTTATATCTGTCTTATGCTTGTATATATTTATACAAGTAATTTACGTCTACGATGGGGGTCTGAGAGAGTTTTCTTTCCTTCAAAAGGTGTTCATATATCAACAGAGTTTGAGCAACACTGGGTAGTGTACTGAGTTCAAAGGTGGATCCCCAAAATTCATGTCCACCCAGAACCTCTCAGAATGTGACCTTATTTGGAAATAGAGTTTGCGGGTATAATTAGTCAGGTTAAGATGAGATAAGATCAGGTTGGGCACAGTAGCTCACACCTATAATCCCAGCATTTTGGAAGGCCCAGGTCGTAGTCCAAGAGTTCAAGACCAGCCTGAGCAACATAGCAAGACCTTGTCTCTGCAAAAACAAAAAAATTGGCCAGACATGATTGTGTGTGCCTGTAGTTCCAGCTACTTTGGGAGGCTGAGGCAGAAGGATTGCCTGAGCCTAGGAGGCCGATGCTGCAGTGAGCCATGATTGTGCCACTGCACTCTATCCAGTTTGAGTAATAGTCAGAACCTGACTCAAAAAAAAAAATTAGGATTAGGGTGGACCTAAATCCAGTGACTGGTTTCTTTTTTCTTTTTTTTTTTTGAGTTGGAGTATCACTCTGTCGCCCAGACTGGAGTGCAGTGGCCACTCCCGGTCACCGCAGCCTCAACCTGCTGGGCTCTGGCAATCTTTCCGCCTCAGCCTTCCAAGGAGCTGGAACTACAGGTGCACGCTACCGCGCCCAGCTGATTTTTGATTTATTGTAGAGATGAGGTCTTGCCAAGTTGCCCGGGCAGGTCTCGAACCTACGGGCTCAGGCAATCCACTCACCTCAGCCTTCCAAAGTGTGGGATTACAGGCTGAGCCACCGAGCCCGGCTTGGTTTCTTTATAAGATGGCCATGTGAAGAGACACAAGGAGAAACACAGGGAAGGCCATGTGACAGTAGAGGGAGAGATTGGAGTCACATTGCCACAAGCCAAAGAATGCCAAGGATTGCTGGCAACCACCAGAACCCAGCAAGAAGGAAGAGAGTCCTTCCTCCAGGACTTTCAGATAGAGCCTGGTCCTGCTGACACCTGATTTCAGAGTTCTAACCTCCAGAACTGGGAGAGAATAAAGTTGTTGTTTGAAGCCAGTGAGTTTGTGGCAATTTGCCACAGCAGCCCTAGGAAACTACTACAGGTGGTAATCTGTCTCAGAAGAGGGGAACTCACATGAGAGCCCTCCTAAAAGTCGTCCCAGGCCTATCCTTCTTCAGGTATGCCATTCTACAACAGCAGGTATACTAGGGCTTCACAAGTGGAGAAACTGAGGCCCAGGGAGGCTCCATGGCTCATTCAAAGAATCACAGCAAGTCAGGATTAGAGAAAGGACTAGAAAGCCAGGGTCTTTTTTTGTTGTTTCTTTTTGTTGAGAAAACAGGACTTCATGAGAGGACAGAAAAGCTCCCACAGGGGGAGGGGACCTGAGGTGGTTGCCCAAAAGCTAGACTCTTAACACTCCCTCCCAGAACTTGGCCCTCTACTCACCACAGTGCCAGCAAATATGTTCACTGCGTAGGCAGACTTGGCCTCCCTGACTCTGGAGTTAGCTGTACCAAGTTTCAGCACAGAACAGATGAGGTCGGGTACAGAGCTGTAGTGCCTCACAGACACAGGTTTGCAGGGAATGGGTCCAGCCTCCTTCTTGGGAAACTCCGGGTCGGAGCCGCTGTCTGCTTCACTTTTCTTTTCAACTCTGACTCTCAAGAGCAAGTCAGGAGTGCAGGGTACTAATGTCAATGGCCGGAAGTACTAGGGAGGAGGAGAAAACCAAACACACAGCCCGTGGGAACCCAGCTCGATCCACTTCCAGATTCATCTGCACCCAGAGGTAGGTGCAAAGGAGATGAGGAGGAGGAAAGCAGTCAGTAGAAAAGCCTCTTTACTCTGGGGCTCTTAACTCAGGGTTCTGGGACCCTTAAAGGGCTCACAGATGGCATCAGAGGGCCTTTGAGCCACTTGAAACTGCAGGGTTGGGTACCTGCAGAATGAACATTTGTATACCTAACCCTGAACTGTACCCCACATCTTTAAAATTAAAAAACTATATATACTGCAGGGCTTGTTTTTGTTTTTGTTTTGAGTTGGAGTCTCACTCTGTTACCCAGGCTGCAGTGCAATGGCATGCTCGTGGCCACCGCAGACTCAACCTGCTGGGCTCAGGTGATCCTTCCGCCTCAGCCTTCCAAGTAGCTGGAACTATAGGCATGTGCCACCAAGGCACGGCTAGTTTTTTTATTTATTGTAGAGATAAGGTCTCACCAAGTTGCCCAGGCTGGTCTTGAACCCATGAGCTCAGGCAATCCTCTCATCTCTGTCTCCCAAAGTTCTAGTATTATAGTCATGAGCCACCGTGCCCAGCCAAAACTGCAGCTTTAACATTGTGTGTTTTTTTACTTTATGGCAAGAGATTCCATATCTTTGATTAGCTTCTCAGAGGCTCTGTGACCCTAACAAAGTTTTAGAAAAATAGGCAGGGCGCAGTGGCTCACACCTGTCATCCCAGCACTTTGAGAGGCCAAGGAAGGAGGACTGCTTGAGACCAGAAGTTTGAGTTCAGCCTAGACAACATAGCAAGACCCTGTCCCTACAAGAAATAAAAAAATTAGTAGGGCATGGGGGTGCATGCCTGTAGTTCCAACTACTTGGGAGGCTGAGGCGAGAGGATTGCTTGAGTTCAGAAGTTCAAGGCTACGGTGAGCCATGATCATGCCACTGCACTCCAGCATGGATGACAGAGTGAGCCCCTGACTCAAAAATACAAATAACGACAAAGCCCTGCTCTAAACCTGTCCTTTCAGGAGGGTCTTTAAGATAATGAGATGGACTGGAAAGTCAGATGAATCTTTCCACTGAGCTAGAAGAGAGCACTAGGCAGAGGGGGGAAATTCAAAAGCTTAGACCACAGGCCAACTGGACAGCAGATGCAGGGCTAGGGCTGCCTGGCACTTTGCACAGAGCGCAGGCTGTTAGGACCCAGGTGTGGTCAATATCTCTGGTAATGTTCGAGAGTCCTGCCTTCCGGTGACCTGCTGGAGGAGGACATTCCAACCCAAGGTAGAACTGAGGACCAGGAGCACAAGCTGGGGTCCACTCCCTGCCCAGAGCGCACACTCAGCCTCCCAGCACGCCGGGCTGCCCTTCCTTCTACTGGAGGAAGCAGGAAGGACAGACCAGTGAGTCCTCTACTACCTGGACACTAAAGATGGGGGGGTCCTGTGTGCCTTTGGGGCTCCCCACTGCTGTCCAGCCCTCCACACAGCCCTTCAGTATGTCTGGGCTCGGAGCATTGGTCTCTTCAGCATCCCCCCACAGATGGGCCCCAGCCGGGGGAGGGTAATGAGTGGGGATGCTCCCCGCCCATCGGGGTTTACTTGTTTGGGGGCGGCCTTGTGTTTCTGCCGTTGCTTCTGTTGCTGGCTCCTCACACTCTTGCCCCGCGCTCGCTCCCTGGCCGATTCTCCCGGCATCTCCATCTTCTTCTCTTTCGTTCGGAAGGGCTTTTTCTCTTGCCTTTTTCTCAGTTCCTGGATCTGCCGCCTGCCCATCGGGGAACGAGTGAGTGTCACGGGACCTGGGGATGGGCTGTGCAGGCGGGCATTCTCCTTGAGAGAGGGACAAGACTGGGTGAAGAGGCGGGGTGCTCCATGTCTCCTCCCTCAGTGTGTCCGGTCTGCACACGTGACTCAAGATCAAAAGGCAGGTATGGAGGAGAGAGTCACCCGACCATGCCACCCCCAGTCTGGGGACTAGCATCCCAAGAGAGATGCACAGTAAAGGGGCTACACCCCACCCCACTACTCCCTTGTCTCCTCTCTCTTCCCAGTATGCCCCTTGCCATTCATTGTGCGTGCTGGGAAGAGGTCTGGGTAGGAGGCTAAAGCCAGGGCCTCCCATGTGGGGCTGTTTCATATGCTGGGCCTCTCTGGCCAATGAAACCGGAGAGTAATCAAAAGCTGATATACCAGGGGTGCCAAAAAAATGTATACACATCTTAAGAGATGTTATCTGTGTATTACTTTTAGTTCACCATAATAGGAAGTGTCTGGACACTGATGGTAACCACTCTGAACATCTCTTGTAATTGCAGAAGTTAAACATGACTTGTATTCGTCTTTATCAGTATGTAGTAAGTATTACAATTTTAATACAGTTTTTTCCTTTCTTAAAATGTGTATACATTGACATAATAAGTGTTCAGTAAACATTTGTTGACTGAAAAAAACATGTATATGTGTTTTGGGTACCCTTTATATATACTCTACTGGAAAGAATTCAGAGTCAGAAGTCAGGGACACAGGGTGGTTCTTCTGTCATCGTCTTCCTGTATGATCCCTTTTCTGCTCTGACCTCTCCTTCCTAAAATGAGGTGCTGGGAGAGGAATGAATGGGGGAATGAGTCCTTCCAGTTCTTAGAGTTTATGCCTGCATGAATCACGAGGAAACTCCGATTCATTCAGGGTAGGTATCCTGGTGTGGGGTGGAGATGGCTATCTCAGGGTGAGTTTCCAGAAATAGTCACCCTCTACAACCCACGCTAGGGAATCTTCCAATTCCTGTTTTTGTTTTGTTTTTCAATTCCTGGTCCTTGTGTGATTAGAACAAATGTTCCCCTGGCAACTTCAAAGTTGGGGACTGAAGCTCTGACACTCTTCCTGCCACCCCAGGCCAGTCAGCCAGCAGGTCGACCACAATCCCCAGAACACCCTGCCCACCTCATCCTGGGAGTCTTCCTACCGGGTATATACCTCCCGAGCCCTGGAAGCAGCAGTATTCTGGAAGAGGGAGTTGTTATCCTGGAAAAACTTCTCATACTTCTCCGAATTCAGACCCGGATAAATCAGTCGGAAGCCCCCACAATTCTCCTTCTCGTATTTCTCCGTTTTCTTTAACTGCATGGCCTGGAAGCCCTTGGCTTCCTCTACCCTGTTGAGAAGCAGAACACAGGACTGCAGTTAAGTCTTCTCGGGACAAAGCCTCGAAGGGACGTGTCCGAGCTGGATGTCATCTAAGGCCAGATGGAGGCCTTGCACACAATAGCAGTCAGTCAGTATTTGCTACATAAAAGCATGAATGTTTCCTTGAAAGGAGATTCTAGCCCTCTGGAGACCGCCATGTCATAATGCACTAAGAGGTGGTTAGAACAGTCTTCCTAACAGCTCACCAAATTCTCTCCTGTTACAAGTAAATCCCGTTTTCCCCTCAGCTTCGTTCTGGCGAGGCAGACTGTCGCCACCTTCCCATTCATAACCCTGATTAGCCTTCTCTGGAGAATGGCAGCTTGTGCTTTGCTAAATTTGAGGGCTTCTTGGAGGGGCTGGAGGAGCTTTTATGAGCTGTAATGATCTCACTCTTCCTCACAGCCCCCTGGGGAAGTGGAGGTCAGGTAGGGAGGAATGATAAGCCCCTTTTCACAGCAGGGAAACCAAGAACCGTGGAGATATCCGGAATCAAGTAATGAGGACAGTGATTCAGAGGAGGCCCTTAACATGATGGCTGATTCTTAATACCACACTGCCTTTTTCTCGAGGAGTTTAGCGATGGCAGAACACAGCAGAAGGCATCCTGGAATCCCAGGCGTAGACCCACTGGGTTCTGGGTCCAGACCTGTCATTTACCAGCAAGGTGACCTGGACAAGTCGGTTCTCCTTCCAGAGTCTTGGTCTTCTTGGCTTCCAGAATAGAAACACACAACACCCCCCGCCACCTTCCTTTCCACTCCTTACAAGGAAGACAGTACTAGTGCCTGAGGAACAGTGCCGCCCAAATGTCAGTGCTACTTACTGTATCAGTTCCAGAAGCACAATCCCAAAGGATTAGGATGGCTCTGCTCATGAGGAGGGCAGGGGGCTGTAGTGGGGTCTGAAGGGTAACAAAAGCGTCTCCTTGACAGAGGCTTGGAGTTTGCTGACACTAGACTCACTCTGCAGAACAGACGCCCAGTTACAAGGCAAATGCTGTCCAGTAAGAAGCAGGAAGACCCTAGTTCCTGCCAACACAGGAACATGGGGTAGGACAGTCATATCTTTCTTTTTTTTCTTTCTTTTTTCATGCTGGAGTCTCACTCTGTCACTCAGGCTGGAGTGTAGTGGCATGCTCACGGCCACCCCAGCGTCAACCTGCTGGGCTCCAGTAACCCTTCCGCCTTAGCCTTCCAAGTACGTGGAACTATAGGTACATGCTATCACGCCCAACTAATTTTTTGATTTATTGTAGAGATGAGGTCTTGCCAAGTGGCTCAGGCTGTTCTCAAACCCATGGACTCAGGCAATTTTCTTGCCCTGACCTCCCAAAGTGCTGAGATTACAGACTTGAGCCACTGTGCCCAGCCCAAATTTTTCTTTTTAGCAAAAATTTTAAAATGGCTTTATTTATTGATGTATTTATTTGAGTTGGAGGTCTCACTCTGTTGCCCAAGCTGGAGTGTAGTGGCACAATCATGGCTCACCGCAGCCTCGACCTCCTGGGCTCAGGTGATCCTCTCACTTCAGCCTCCTGAGTAGCTGGGACTACAGGCATGTGCCACCACACCCGTATAATTTTTCTTATTTTTTGTAGAGATGCGGTTTCACTATGTTACCTATGCTGGGGTTTTATTTTTTCTATTGGTAATTCTTTTTTTTTTTTTTTTTTTTTGGGTTGGCGTCTCACTCTGTCGCCCCAGCTGGAATGCAGTGGCACACTCCCAGTCACCGCAGCCTCAACCTGCTGGGCTCCGGTGATCCTTCTGCCTCAGCCTTCCAAGTAGCTGGAACTACAGGCGCGCGCTATCACGCCCAGCTAATTTTTTTATTTATTGTAGAGATAAGGTCTCACCAAGTTGCCCAGGCGGGTTTCGAATCCGCAGGCTCAGGCAATCCACTCACCTCAGTCTCCCAAAGCACGGGATTACAGGCTGAGCTACCGAGCCTGGCTCT